TAATGTTAACGAAGTAGATGATATGTTAGATTTCTGATCTTCAGCCTACTGAATTATCTATAAATTTTATATAATATAAAATAACAAAATACTGGAAAAAGAGTTTAGTTGTATTAATTGGAATTCTGATAGAAAATGGACAAATCAGAATTTTATAATTAAATCTGTATTAGAATTCTAGTCGAGATAATCAAATGAGAATCATCTGATAAGAATTTTGATTGATCAAAATCTACTGATTTGTTCATTTTCAATCAAAAATATTTCTCTGTAATATAAAGTAACAACTACGAACATAATTGTGAAGTGATATTAGATTATAAATTTATTAATATATACATATTACGTGCAACTACACTGAGAAAAGTGTTCTGATTAAACCAACAAGAAAAACCCAACCAGAATAGCGTTTTGATTGGACCTTTTTGTTGATTTAATCATAACATTTTTCTTTGTATACATATCTTTTTTATACAAATTTTTTTAGAAGTCCACTTTCCGATGAAATTTCTGCGAGAGTTCACTTTAGAGTTCGTTTACACAAGGAGCTATAATCACGCAAGGCATTTACGTCCGCGCCGGTCGATAGATGCGTTATCCGTCTATTCAACCTTAAAGGGGAAACAATCAAAATAAGAGTAATAGCGACCGAGCTGTCATCGTGTGCGCTTTATTACTATAAAGCGATACATCTTTGTCGAGGTCGATTTTCTGCGCGTCGATCGACGGGACGTTCGCATGAATTAATACAATGCAGCGGTCGATTGGGTAATAGTTGATCGATACATTTAACAATTATCTGGTCTATAACCACGAAAGAAACGATATGAAATGGAGAAATAATTGTGCGAGCAACTAGATTTTATCTACTTATTTTTTTTTAACTTAAGTGATTCACCTGTTTCTCTTTGTTATTTGAAGAGATATTAAATAGTATTATAAAACTATCTTGTATCTGGCGATTTATAACATCATTAAATTTAAAAGAATTTCGGAACTTGTAAAGATAATCGATCGCGTAAAATTGATGACGACAACATAAATTGACGTGCGCGCGTCGAAACATTATATTGAATTACATTAAAGAAAGTCTGACAAGTCATTCTCAGTAATTTATGTTAATTCTATTCCTCGCTCTAAGAACCTGTGCTCGGATCATTTATCTCCCATCATAAATATAGCAACTGCTGTTTAATCACTACTTTTGCGCACGTACGATGGAATTTTAACAAATTACACATTTGTAAATTTTATCAGTCATAAATAATTTTTATCTTAAATTATTCTCTTTTTCATGCAATATTTTGTCATTTGCTGTTTCCCTTTTTTTTTCTATTTCCCACGTCGACCATCCACTGTCCACGGTTGCATGCGGTCATGTGTCACGTATAATGTTCCGAGAGGACTCGCTTTTAGAGAACACGGAATAAATTCTACTGTATTCTCTATTGGGAGATCCGTCGATATGTCTCCCTCTCCTCATCCAAATCTCCTCGTTTCTCTTTCTCGCACTGATCGTTACTGACGCGGGCGATTGGACTGCGGCCAAAATGCCGCCGGTAAAATTAATCGTTGCCTGACACGAATTCCTCTCTAAGTGGGAATACCAATTTGTAGGTGCGAAACAGAGAGAGAGAGAGAGAGAGAGAGAGAGAGAGAGAGAGAGAGAGAGAGAGAGAGAGAG